CGCCGGTCGAGCCGATAGTCGATGCCGCCGAGGAGCCATAGTAGAAGTTTTAGATTAGAGATACTTTAGTAGATGTAAAAGACAATGTCATGGGGGAGCCCCCTGTGTAAAGTGTTTTTGTGATGGAACTACTTCGTTTGGAGAAGCTTGTCTCGTGCGTTCCTTATTTTTACCTTAGCATAACTTTGTTTGTTATTCTTTCTTTTTCGCATCTGCCCGTTCGTCCCATAGGCTGCAACCTTAAGAGCCCGGGGTATGGCCCGCAAGGCTCAGCTGCCCGTAACCGTAGGTAGAGGCGGAGTGCGATCGGTTGGAATATTTAAAGCAAAGTTACGTAAGGTAATTTAAAAGAACGAACTACCCTTTCGTTTGGGTAAAAAAAATTTTTACCATATGATAGTAAACAAAAAAAAGGTGGTAGTGTACCCCCGTGGAGCCCCTGAGTGACCTGGGGTGAAAGTGTTTGGGTCAGGGCGCTTTTATAGGAGCAGACGTTAAGTAAACAATGGTAAGACTAAATTTTAGGGGAAGAAACGACGTAGCTGTTCGCTGTTCTAAGTGTTGGTGAGAACGTTGTCGTTGTCGTCCTTCAGTCAGTAGGCGTCCAGTCGGATCGGCTCGATCGCCGTATAGGGACCTTTAGTCGTTCGGATCCTTGCCCGCTACGCCCTCTTTCTTGGCCGCTGCTTCTTTGCCTTTTCCTTCCTTCGGCCCACTGGCCTGTCGTAGAAGGTGCTTGAGGAGCTCGCAGCCTTGTAGAGGTGTTTGACGGGGTAGGTGTGGTTGGTGCACGGGCTCTCCATGAGCTCGTTGAAGTGGTCCAGAAGGCCCTGCTGGGGCTGCTTGCCCATGTGATCGGTCACGGTGACCAACGTGGAGTTGGCCGGTCGACGACGATCTTTTTTGTTCTTTTTGCCTCTCTGCGTGGAGGGACCCTCGTCCTGATCCTCGTGCTTAGCCTCGCCTTTGCCCCAGCCTCCGTTGAAGCGCCGTGGGAACGTCGCTCTCAGGATGCGTCGGCTAAAGGCCCATGGTCTCGGGCCATCCGGGCTAGGACTCCAGTCGTCCGCCCAGCGACCGTGCCTGGGGTGAGTTTCACCACTCCTTGCAACGGTCCAGCCAGGGTCTATGTCACCTGCCATCATTGTCGCTCGATGGACGTCATCATCATGCTGGGACAGATGACGGTTGCTGATGACGCTGCGAGCGTCTTGGTTTGGCCCGAGCCGCTCGCGTACAGGCGGTCGGTGCGGAGCGAGCACTAAGTCAGGGCGGGGCGCAGATGCGGCCTCCTGTGCCGCTCTTGGTGGCTATAGCGGTGAGCAGGTGGAGCGATTCTTCTGGTGCATCCCCACTCCCCTGGTGGAGAGAGAGGCTACGAGTCGGTGTCGTGATGCGGAGCTCTCCGCCTGTTGAACGGCGGCGGTTTCCACCAGTGCCCGGAGGTTCCGGTGGATCGCCTGTTTCTGGGGGTCGTTCGGCTCGGGAAGGCCGCATAGAAGCATTGCCGCAACGGTGATGTTCTGGCCAGCCCAAGCGAACTATGGGGGATCGTTTCCCCCATCTATGATGTTGTGCTGGACCTGGCGGGTGCGACCCCGGGCGCCGCTCGCTGGGTTATGCGTACGGGACGCGTGTGGTGCGCCGAGCACGCCGATGCAGGTGGCGGCTGGTTCTGCCGCCGTTGTAGTAGCTCCTCGTCGTGCTCTCATGTGAGCACGAGGGTCCCCGCACGAGGGTCCGGAGGGGTTTGAGTCTACAAGGACTCCGCTACCACCGAGGTTTGAGCAGAGCGTTTGCTCGGAATAAAGCGCAGGCGCCTCGTCGTTGAAGTCGTCGCGTGTCCCAGAGCCGACGGAGGGTGCCCCTCCGACGGGCGCCGGGATGGATGCCTCCTCGTGGAGGTGTAGTATGCCGAACCGGTCAGCGATGAAGTCCAGGCTTCCGAAGATGAAGGCCTAGGACGGCTCGAGGACGGGTGGAATCCGCATCCCAATAGGTGGGAGTGCAGGAAACTCCAGTGAGCCAAAGCGAGTCGTATCGTTTGAGCCTGCCATGGTGAAGGTGGCGGAAAGATGGGCCATCCGATAACCAAAAAGTATTGAACGTACAACGTCTTCCTCACGGATGGCGCCAACTCTCGGTGCAGAAAGTGGCCAACACGTAAATATTTATAGTTTTGCTGTACGTTGTGATCGGAGGTGGCCTAGCACTCAATGATACATGGTTTATACTGGTTCAGGCAACGTGCCCTACGTCTAGTTTGAGTCGGTCGGTGACTTTATTCCTGAGCCCAGATGCTCGAAATTTGATATGGGGTTACAAACGGAAGGGAGAAAGATGGGGGTACAAGAGGTCCGGTCGGACTCTGGTCTGAAGGGCCAAGAGTGACGGGAGCCCCGCTATGTGCTAAATGTTCGAGCGTGCGCTCGGTATAGCTTTAGAATGTCTAAAGTTACAAAGGGTGAATCAATATAAGTGAACTGATCGATCTCCTTTTGGGAGAGAGCGCATCTCCTTTTATAGATGAAGGGGATGGCCTTTACAAGTGAGAGGGAGAGAGTGCGTATGCTACTAAGTCTTGTTGCCCACGCCGACGGGTACAAGATGATGGTAGGCGCCCACAATACTATTTAATGTCAGATGCACGTGGGAGGTTGCGTCGTCTTCTTCAGGTACGATAGACGTCGGTGTTTGCTACACTGTTGATACCTAGAGGCATGCAAGGGGTTTTACCATGTTCACCTGGCACGGTAAATGCCGACGCCCACAACACTATTGATGTCTCAGAGGCACGTGGGGGGAGCCTTACCGTATTTGTCTAGTGTGAGAATTGATGGCGCCCACAACACTGTAGGGGAAAATATCGGTGGCTACAACACTGCTTCGGTTCTGTCATGCTAGGAAGGTCGTAGGGTACTGTCCTGTAGGCATATAGCGTACAATCCTTGGTACTGCGGTTGATTTGAGTGCCATGCCTTACTTTCTCCATCAGTTTCCTGGTCCTTACCGAGCGGGCATACCCGGTCGGTCGGTCCCAGTCGGCTCTGATTGCGCCAGTCGGAGAGGAGCTGTAAGCAGGGGTTCAGCGCAATCCGGGTCGGAGAAGCGGGTTGGAGTCGAAAGTGGTGTTTTGGCCAGGCCTTCCGGTCGGAGAGGCCATCCGGAGGTGGGCTGGTGACGGAAGTGAGCGTTGTTCCTCTTTCGTGAGGCCTTTCGGTCGGAGAGGCGGGCCGGAGTCGGAAGCGGGCGCCGTTCCTCCTCGGCTAGGCCTTCCGGTCGGAGATTGGATTGTCCTTCTGGCCTGTCATTTAGGTGTTTTGGGCCGGTCCAAGAGTTGCGCGTCGTTTGCAACGTTGTCTGTCGGACTGAGCCTTTGCTGGGAAGTCGGTCCATGAGAGACTCCGGATTTATGTACCCAACAAGTAGCTTAGTGCTTGTGTTTGGTTCCCATAGACTAAAGTTTTAGTCCTGTCACATCAGATGGTTGATGCTAATTAGAAGTATTAAATATAGACTAATTAAAAAATAAATTAAACAGATGGAGGCTAATTTGTGAGACGGATTTTTTAAGCCTAATTAGTCCATGATTTGACAATGTGGTGCTATAGTAAACATTCACTAATCATGAATTAATTAGGCTTAATAGAATCGCCTCGTTAATTAGTCTACTCCTGTGTAATTAGTTTTATAATTAGTTCAATGTCCGATGTGACATGGACTAAACGTTAGCCCCTGGATCCAAACAATCACTTAATTAGTATGCGGCTTGAATTGGCATTTTGTTTCCTTCTCTTGATTGCTATTTTAGGAGCATGTTTTATAAGCCCGAGGCTATAATAGAAATGTAATGACAAATGATTAAGTGATAACTTTCAAGGACTAGAATGAAATTCTTTTTTTTCTAAAAGTGGGATCTACTAACTCCGAAGTACAACCTTTTTTAAGTTAACATATATATAAAGTAACACTTGAAATCTTTTGAAGGTGAGGAGGGCCGATGTAACAAAAACATACGGGAATTTGAAAAAAAAAAGAAACAAAAAGAACTTTAGCAATTTAATTTTGATTGTTTTGGTTGAATGAAATTCTCTTGAAATTAATAATGTTACTAAATTGGTTGATTGTTTTTAATTTTAGTGCCTTAATTCTTTAACCTATTTATTTACATCTTCTTATATTTTCGGAATTCTCCTTGTTTTCTCTCTAGGAATGGGCCAAGTATTGCAGATAGGCCCACAACTTGGCCCGAATCACTTTCTAAATTTGAAAAGAAAAACAAGGGGGTTTGAAAGAAAAAGTAACTTTAGCAATATAAGTTTGAATTTCTTTTCATGAAATGAAATTCTTTTGAAATTAGTAATGTTATTACATTGATGGTTCACTTTTTATTACTTTAATTAAGACTTCCAATGTATGGGGTCTAAACAACGAGAGCCATTTCAACTTGGAATTATAAACTCAAAATATTAGGGAAAATTTGGAAAAAAAAAACACAAAGAACTTTAGCAATGGAAGGTTTTTCGTGGAATGGAATTATCTTGACACTGATAATATTACAATGGGGCTATATTTTACAAATCTACTGTTTTATTAGTTTTTTAACCCACTTAACTTATAGGGTTTCATATGTAGTTACATGCCTTTTTTTTCAGATTTCAGAAAATTCTCCTCGTTTTTCCGTTCCCCGTTCAGAAATAGGGCCAAGTATTGCAGATAGGCCCACGCCAACTGGCCCAACCTGCGTGCCAGCGTAGTACTAACGCGTATCCTACCGTATACGTACAGCGTAGTTGTAACGCGTATCCTGCGTGTATAAAATACGCTCCTACCTCGCCGTCTCCCTCCCTCCTCTGTTTCGCGCCACATCTAATCTGATCCAATCCGATCCAGTCGCCGAAACCCTCGCCGTCGCTTTCGATCTGGCTCGCTCTCGCCATCTGATCCAGTCGCCGAAACCCGCGCCCTCGGTCTCGCTTTCGTTCACGCCCGCTCTCGCAATGGCCGCCGCCGCCGCCATCGGCATGTGCGAGGACGACCGGGGGATCCCCCGATCTCTCCCCCTCCTCGCAGCGCTCGTCGAGGAGGATGCCCGCCTCCACGCCGCCGCCGCCGCCTCCCAACCCGCCGGAAGCGATCTGGTCCGCGCCTTCCGCGGGCGGACGGTTCCCAAGGTGCCAATCCGGGACTTCCTCGAGCGGATCTATGTGCTGGTTCGGTCGGAGGCCGCCACCGGACAAGTGATCCGCGTCGACGGTACGTGTTTCGTGCTCGCTGGCGTTTATCTGACGCGATTCATCGGCAGCCACGCGGCGCGGGTGGCGGGGATCGTGGTGGAGCCGTCCACCGCGCACCGGCTGGTGGCTGTCGCGCTTTTCCTCGGCGGACACTCCCCAAAGAACTGGGCCGCCGTGTTCGAGGCCGCCTCAGACCGCGCGATCCGCACCGGCGAGATCGCAGGCCTAGAGGAGCGGTTCTTGCGCGCGATCAGCTCCCGCTTGTTCGTGGACGGCCACGAGTTCAAGTGCTTCTGCGGGGTGCTGGAGAAGGTGCCCCTGCCGCCGCGCGGGAGCTGCGCCAGTAGGAAGAGGCAGGCGGACGCCATGGCCGGAGACGAAGAGGAGGAGCACCGCCGCGTCCGCACTTGCCTGCTACCACCCACCGTGATGTCCAATTAGGATTCTAAACTGAATTTTTTTACGAACTCAATTCAGTCAATTCTTATTGTTTTCGTTGCTTGTTTTACTTGGTCTGTTTTGATTTTGCTGTAGGCACAGGGCTTTGAGAAGAAGATGGTGGAATTTCGTGGCTGGAGGCTAAAGGACACGGTCCACAAGTTGTTTTCGTTTTGGTCATCTGCTCGTGGCCAGGGCCACAAGTGGAGTTTTCGTTTGGGTCAACTGCTCGTCACCAGGGCCAGTCAAGGTTGTCTAACAATTCGAGCTGCAGCCGCTGTTAGCTCCTTGGAAGAGTTTATTAATTTCTGTAGATTTCTTAAGATTTGAAGTCAATGGGAAGGGCACAGTTGACAGTATTGTGTTCTGAACTCTGAAGGTTTAGTGGTTATGGTACTTTAGCTACTGTCAAGTCACTCAAAGAGTATAATGTCCTGTCAGATGTCAAGTTAATAGAAATGCATAATGTTGTGGTACTCCTTGTTAGTGAAGTATATCAGGTGATTAGGATGTGGTTCTTATGTGGTTCTTCAGTACCAGATTCATGTGTGATTCTTCTTGTCTGTGTGTGTATAAAGTGTTATTCTTAACACCTGTGTCACTTCCAGAGATGAGGAGTTGCACCACCCCGTCTGAGCTTGCCTGCCACCACCCGCCGTGATGTCCAATTACGATTTTTCAAACTGAAATACTAACGAATTGAATTCAGTCGATTCTTCTTGTTTTAGTTGCTTGTTTTACTTCGTCTGTCTTATCCTTTTGGCTGTAGGCACAAGGCCGTGAGGAGAAGATGGTGGATGCTCGTGGCTGGAGGGAAGGTGTCTTCGATTCAGTCAATCAATTCTCCTTGTTTTGGTTGCTTATTCTACTTGGTCTGTCTTGTTTTGCTGTAGGCAGTAGGCACAGGGCTGTGAAGAGAAGACGTTGGATGCTCATGACCAGAGGGAAGGTTTACATCGATTCAGTCAGCATTCAATTCATTCGATTCAATTAATTCTCCTTGTTTTGGTTGCTTCTTCTGTCTTGATTTTGCTGTAGGCACAGGGCCGAGAGGAGAAGACGGTGGATGCTCACATGCTCGTGGCCAGCTGCAAGTCGCCAGGGATGCTCGTTGCTGGGCCCGAAGTGGACGAGATGCTCTCGCTGGACCAGAAGCCACAAAACTGCTCCAGGAGGTTTCAGTAGTGACTAGTCTTAAAACCAGCCTGGGTGGTTATCGATCTGCGCCTGTGTATTTCTGCATCGTGCTGTCCGTTTCATCAGCTCTTTGTTTGCTCGCAGCTCTTGTACAGACCTCGTCGTTGCTGCTCACTAGCAGAGCAGCTTGCTGTGTTTTATATGTACTGGATCGTTAAGTACCAACTAAAACCTGTGTTTCTTCAGACTGTTGTGTGTTGTTGCATCAATGGCATGTGTTTCGATCTGCTATATGTTTCAGCTACCTACAACCTGCTGCGGCTGCTGCCGTGCCTTGGTTCACTGTTACCCAGCTGCAGCAGCCGTGCCTTGGTTCGCTTGCATCATTTGTTGAGAGGCATCCATCCATATTTGCTTTTTCATGGCTAGCCCCAACATCAACATAGCTTGCTGGAATGTCCAGAGGACTGAAATCTGAAGTCAGGAGAGACGTGCACGAAATCGTTGATTCCTTGCTGCCTGCCTGGGGAGCTACCGAATGCTGCCACCGGCCCATTGCCGCACGCGTGTGGGCATCTACTGTTCAGATAAAAGAGTGGCACCGATTTTAGAGTTACTGTGTGTCTGTGTATGGGCCAACGAAAACGTTAGACGGTTTTTACACGATCGCCCTTTGTTTAGCGTTTATGCTGTTTACACGGTGTTTAAACGAAGTTAAACGGTCTAAACGGTTTTATACTTTTTTTTTATAAAAAAATACATATAATTATATATGTGTATGTAAAAAATCAAGTATTCTATCATTTATACATATTTATCCGAGTAAAAATCAATTATTTTGGTATGTATATATATTTATGCATGTGAAAAGAACCAAATATAGATATTTATGCATGTGACATATCAAGTGTACACATTTATAAATATAATAAACTTAAGTATACAAATTTATCCATACAAAACTGAACTAAATTTACCTCGTGTTCGCCTAAACGGCCGTTTAAACAGCTGTTTAGCCCGTTTAATGCTGTTTATCTCCGTTCCGTTTATGCCGTTTAGGCCGTTTTTTCCGTTTAAACGGTCAACCGTTTAATTTTCGTTTACCCCCTAAACAAAACAGTTTACCACCGTTTACCGTTTACTGGCCGTTTAATCCATTTAGGCGAACACGGTATGGCCACCTCATCTATCGAGCAAGGGAATTGCTAGTGCATGGACATCCGATAGGATAGAATTCCGTCGGATGGTAATCTGGGCACACTCCCACCAAACGGCCTAACAGAACGATCCATCAGAAAACGCCATCGCACGACCCCCGCTTCGGTCGCCAGCTCGCCTGCCGCAGCGCCATTCGCTGCTGCATGCGCTCGTCCGTCCCTGTCTACCTCGTCCCACCCCACACACGTGCTCTGCTCATGTCCACCTCGCCCTCCCCCTGACTCCCTCCTCTTTCTCTGCGCGGGTGGGACCCGGGAGCCAAGATGAGGACGAGCATGCCCCGTCCGCAGGACCCAGGCGCGCTTCACGCCCCATCTGCCGCCCCCTGGTGCTCGGGCCGTGCCCTCATGATTCTCTGAACATACCTCCGAAACACGAAAATACTTTCAACATGAAACGCTTGAATGCAACATACATCTTAAATAGATGAAACACTTGCAACATGTGTGTAAAACATGTGCAATATCGAGATAAAACACTTGCAACTTGCAACATGGAAACACTTATTGCAACATATGACTGAAACAACTGAAACATTTAAAACATATCCTTGCAACATGTGTGAAACATGCGCAACATCCAGATAAAAATGCTTGCAACATACGTCTGAAATATTTTAAACAAACACTTGCAACATGCCTCTGAAACACTTGCGATATGCCTCTGAAACACTTGTAACATATGCATCATCCCGATCTACTTTTACAGTATCCATACGAAACACTTGCAACGTACCTCTGATAACATCTAAAATACTTGAAACATACATTTGCAACATAGGGGTGGGAAAAGGCCAAGGCCAGTTGATTCTGACCTCAGAGTGGGAGCCAGCGCCGAGCGGCAGCACGCGGGCACCACCAGCTCGTGGGTGGCCTTGGCTCGGTAGGGATCGACATGAGGTGCGCGATGGCACCCCCGCATTAGCAGAGGCGGGCGGCGCACCTGGCGGTGCGGGTGGGGTGTGTAACGGGCAGGAGCGAGGAGTGAGCAGCGCAGGATGAGGGAGCGCGGGGGAGATGTCTGCTGCGGTGAATGCAGAGTGGGGCGGGCTGACGGCCGCATGGCACTGTGAAGCGTGCGAGGGGTGAGCAAGTAGAAAGATATTTTCGAAAGAGATGGGGGGAGACGTACAGAGGAGGAGGCAGACTTGTTGGGTCGGTAGCGCGCGCAGGCCCAAGAAGCGACATCCGATCGAACAGACGCCCAATCCTGAGCATTACCGATCGAGCAAGGGACAAAAACAACAGAAAACCTCAATAGAAACCTTATGGCTCAGCTTTTCACAAATGCTCAATGACATCTCCAGAATTGAAAATATACTTGAGTAATGAACGAAGCAACCCAACTCTCGTACGCCTAGACCATGTTTTCTGCAGTGAGGATTGGGATTTGTCCTTCGAGACGCACATATCCTACGGGGCCTCTCTTTACAGCATACTCATATCCCTCTCAAATCAAAGTGGACCGCCAAGGCCAAAACAATTTAAATTTGAAAACTTCTGGATTCATATGCTGAGTTTTCAGCACGTAATCCAAATGGCCTGGACGGAGCATAACCCACATTCTGAACCTTTCCACCGTCTCAACTATAGGCTTCCAAGCACTGCACGACGACTGAAAGAATGGAGCAAATCGCTATTGTATGACACATAATGGCAAATTCCAAGTATTTTCACTTAAAAATCATTTCCCAGCGGAGAAAAAAATTCATTCCAAGCTGCAAAGGGACCAAGGCTTGGCAATTTCGCATGAGGAAAAAAAAGAACAAGTGGCGCATGAATATTTTCTAGAGTAATGGGAGTGATGAGACAACCCTCGGGGCCTCAGCAATGGGAGTGGGAGGATCTGAACTTTAGCCACCTTGAACTAGGCTCCCTGGACGCCCCTTTTACTGAGCAGGAGGTTTTGGAGGTGTAAAGACAGGTTGAATGCTAGAGGTGAATAATCTTTTAAAAAATTATACAAGTACTACTAGAAACTCGAGTACTCCTGTGTATGATGAATTTTTCTATGTGTTTTTTTTCGGTACACACAGAAAAACTAGTAATTATTCAGTGGGTTCCAAAAATACCGACAGAAAAATAAAAAAATTGACAGAATAATTGCCTGATTTTTCTATGTGGGCCAATACATATAGAAAAATTACAATTATTCTGTGGGTTTCTATAAAACGCACAGAAAAAAGTAAACACACGCAGAAAAATAGAACAAGCGCCCTCATACTAACTTCATATAAACCAGCGCAGTTTTTCTTTTTAATCTCTCTCTAAAACTTGTAACTAGCCTTTCGCCCTCATACTAACTTCAAATTTAATGATTTTTTTCTAAAGTTTTCTAAAATCATGCTCTATCAATTTATTATGTTCTTACAACTATTATTTTGGTCATCTTGTCACGTGACTTTGTTTTATCAATTTAAAATTTGAATTTCAAAAAATGATAACTTCAAACAATATTTTTAAATAGTAAATGATTTCAACTGAAAAAGTTATGAACATAAAAGTTGTTGAACTCATCAAGATCTAGAACTTTTATTTTGGTCATTGCTTTTTCTGACAAATGATAGTAATATTGTTTACAAATTGACATATCTCTCATATAGTTTCATAAACTATGTGAAAGATTTATGGATTTATGAACAATGTATACTACCACTTTGTCGGATGAAGAAATGACCAAAATAAAAGTTGTAGACCTTGATGAGTTGTACAATTTTGTTGGTTATGACTTTTTTAGCTGGAATCATTTGCTATTTCAAAATCTTGTTTGAAGTTATCATTTTTTGAAATTCAAAATTCAAATTGTTTAAACAAAGTTTGATGGAGAAATGACCAAAATAAAAGTCGTGGATCTTGATGAGTTTTACAAATTTGTGGTTTATGACTTTTTCGATGAAGTCATTTGCTATCCAAAAATTCTGTCATAGTTCTCATATTTTGAAATTCAAATTTTGAATTATTCAAACAAACTCATATAGAAAAAAGACCAAAACCAAAGTTGCGGATATTGATGAGTTTTACTACTTTTCTGTTGACAACATTTTCATTTGAAATCATTTTTGATATCTTAGAATTTAATACATTTCTACCAGCAAAAGAAAATAAGAAAAGAAAAATAGTCTTGGGCAAAGACGACTCCATTCTAGCCCAAAATGAGAGATAGGCCCAATACCTCCCATAGGCCCAGCTGCAACTTCGGTTGATACCAGCCGTCCATCTCTCGATCCGATGGTTGAGAACATTGTTTGCCTCCCAAGTTTCTCTTCACCACACGCACGGGAGCAATCTCCTCCCGTGCATACCCCTCTCTCTCGATGCCGACGCCGCTCCCTGCTCCAATGGCGACCTCTCCTGCTCCCAACTTCTCTTGGTGCAGCACTGGCGCCCTCTTCCTCCCCGCGTCGCGCGCCCTCGCACTAGGCAGGCTGCCATGCCCTAGCCGGCTTCGCTGGCCATGCCGGCTGCCACCGCCGATGGCCGGGGATGGACGGGCGCACCGCCGAGCTGCCGGGTAGGCCGCAGCTGCGCGCCACATGGCCGCCGCTGCCCATTCCGTGCCAGAGGCCCTGTGGGGCTGGCCACCCCCTGGCCAGGCTGTGACGTTGTTCGTGCTGCCCCCTTTCCCGCCACCAGATTCGGAGCACGGGCCTGCCCACGGCGAGATCCAGAGGCTACTCCCGGAGGAGATGGCAGAGGAGGGGGATCTCGAGCCCCTACCACCTAGCATCGTGCACGACTCCCTCAGCCCCCGGCGGTGCCTGCCGCTGCTGCGCGACCCTGCTCCTCCCCTGGGGATTGTCGACGTCGAGGTCGACGAGCCGCGGATGCCAC